GGCCGCTGGCAAATGGTCATAACCAATGGGAGACCGACCTGAAGTACGGTGCTTGTCGTAGAACCTGTGTATAATCGTTAAAAAATATTGCAGAGATCTCGCCAACGTCTCATTTTATATGGAAATATTCCCTCTATATTTGTGATGTCTCAGAAAAATTTTGTATATCCAAATTTTGGACATGTGCAACAAGTTTTAGAAAAGTAACAAAATAATGAAACCTATACCTATCTCCAGTCTCAATCGATATCATCAATATTCGTGTCTTATATCTACAGATTCTATATCAACTAAAATCTCAACACAGTTTTTAAAATAATTAAAATCTTTCTCTTTTATTTAGTAAGGATCAAAATGAAAAAAATGTATCCATTTGATGGATAGTTATTTTGAATTCTCTTTCGAATGGCATGTAAATAATCATAGTATATAGTAGTAATATCAGATAGTCTCAGTCGTGACTTTTCTCGATTAAGTATTATTACTTTCTTTTGTGTTTCTATTAATAACAATTGGAATGTGATATCTAAAGTTCATTTACCATACATTCAATTTTGAGACATATATTTGAAAATTTATGAATTTATATTTACATGTTAAACATTTATAGTGTTTTTATTCTGTTATAAAATAGGTGCCCTAGGAAAATTCAAATATTCATCGGAGTTGACTATTAATAGCCCAATGTATTATCGAGATTGTGAAATACCAAAATGTTACTATGAAACTTTAGAAATAAATGTATTTACAACGGGTTCATATGTTCTTTGGAGTGAGAGCAGTGATATACACAACACATATGGTTATATCTACAAAGATGATTTCAATCCACTCGAACCATTGGAAAATTTACTCTTAGAACATAATGGCAAATGCAACGGAGGACAGTTTAAACTCATCATTGATCTCCAGATCGGGACTAGATATGTATTAGTTGTGACAACATATCATCCAATGACAATAGGAAACTTCTCTATTTTCGTATCTGGACCAGACAACGTCAGTCTTAATTCCTTGAGTAAGTGTTTGAACTGTTTTATGAATAAAAAAGATAAATTTACTGAACACGAAAAATCTTCCTAAATACCGTTACGATTTTACATTCCTATTGTCACTCTACTTTATATTTGCAAATGTTCTTCCTTTAGTATGGTATATACAGTAACTTAAAACCAGAAAACAGATAATAGTGATTCCAAAGAGTGACCTTTGTTTATACCCCTCATACAATAAAGAAATGAAGGAAAACTAATTATTTAAATCAAATCATAGCAGTTGAAGAGGTCCGAATATACTTTCCTTGTACATCCAAAATCAGTTTCCTTTCCTTTGTTAGTCATTTCAAAAAAAAAATGTTTCTTGTTCTCTTTTGACTGCCGATGGATTGTTATTAGATTATGAGAAACAATCTACTAAGCTACTTGATTAGATAGTCTAAATTCTCTTAATTCAAATAGAATAGTTTAGTACTTCCTTTCTTAACAATCAATAAGTTAATAGTTCGTTCGAGAAGGCCCTTTTTTAGTTGCAACTGTAAATAAATGTTTGATATTTTGTACGTAGCTGTTGAATTGAGCCTTCACCAAGACTCAATTTCCAGAGTATTAGCTCTCATAGGTGGACAGCGTGGGCTAAGCGGCTTCACTAATCGTATGTGACAGAATGGACAAAAAGAGGATGAGTTGAAGGTGAATATGAACGTGAGAGCACATTATTCTTTTTTCTCATTTACGCAGATCCTCATTCACACCTATCTTCAAGATTGTGAACAGTTTTCTTTTGTCTGAAGGTTCTTGATAATGTAGTAATTGCCGAGAAATTGTACTAATTGATAGAAATTCATTCTTTCCAACATTTAGCAAAGCGAGTCTTCCTTATTTGATCATTCAATTCTTACACAATCGACATGTGTTTCCTATATAGAAACAAATATATGTCTGCAGAAATGACCAATATGGGAAAAACTTGCAAAATACTAAATGAATAGAAAACCCACATCTACTATTTTTGCTCTATTCTAAATAATATTTAGCGAATATTTTAGGTCCAACAGAGAGCAGTTGTGTTATTGGTCATCAATGTAATTTTCACGTTAAAGGTGTTGGTTTGACTCTCGATGATATTTTGCGCGATCAACTCCGACCAAGCACGACACTAAACAATCAATCATTCTCGGTTAAAATAAGCGCGGGTTTGACAATAATAATGTTGGTTGCTGGCCTAATCAACAGTATTCTTTCTTTTATAACGTTTAAAAGTAAAAACTCACAACAAGTCGGATGTGGAATGTATCTTCTAGCATCATCCATCACTTCTCTTCTTACACTCAGTATGTTCACAGTGAAATTTTGGTTTGTCGTCCTTACTCAAATCAATGTATCGACTAGTGTCTCTCTTCTTCGTGCAGGTTGTATATCTATCGAACCCATTCTCAAACTTTTTCTATACTTAGATGGTTGGCTTAATGCTTGCGTGGCTGTTGAACGAGCGATTCATGTTTTCAAAGGAATTCATTTCGACAAAGAGAAAAGCAAACGCATAGCTCGACGGATAGTTCTAGTATTACCATTCTGCATCATGAGTACTCTTATCCACGAGCTCTTGCATCGCAAACTGTTTGAATATCAAATAGAGATAGACAAGGTATATGGGAACAAAATCGAAGAAAACCGGATATATGAAAGCAAGACCAATGAAGGTACGACAAAGCGATATGCATGGTGTATAATCCGTTATTCTTCTTTTGTCCAAAACTACAATACAACAATTCTATTTTTCCATATCATCGTTCCATTTATTGCCAATTTGTTCTCTGCTTCGTTCATCGTCCTTGGAGCTGCTCGACAACGATCAGTAGTTCGAACTGGCCGAAGCTTCAGAACGCATGTTCGTGAACAGTTAAGTGAGCATAAACAATTAATAATCAGTCCTATGATTGTGCTCATTTTGTCGTTACCTCGTCTTATTACTTCATTATTGCCTGGATGTGTGAAAACGTCTGACAGTTTGTGGCTGTATCTCAGTGCTTATTTTATTTCGTTTACTCCATCGATGCTTATCTTTCTTATATTTGTCTTTCCTTCGGATTTATATATGAAAACATTTACAAAGTCGATCATTAGATGGCAACGACGACGAATTCATCATTAGTCAATTCATTTTGAATGACTTATTATCGGTAGTTATTCTGAACTTGTGGAACACATCAGTCACTAAGAAAGAGTCAAAGGCAAAAGGTTAAACGTATCAGTTTTATACCAATTATACTGCATATCGATTCCTATATAATATGGATAGAAAAGTTATGCATGTTGTTATGTTATACTTTTTTCTGATACTTTTGTAAATAAAGATCTGTAAATCTGTCTTAGTCACTTTGCTGCAAAATGAAAAATGTAGAAGATGTGAAATCATGATCTTGCTAGCAATCTTTTTTTTATTGAGAAGCTTCATTTGATAAAGTTTTGACGGTTTATCAAGCAAATTAAGTTTTCAACATGCTCTATAGTTTGCTTTATGCACTAGTCCGTTGTAAGAAAACAGTGTGAAAACTAGCTAAAAGAATCACAAATTTCGAATAAGAGTCTTTTATTTTCTCTATTCTATTCTTCTACTCTATCTATTCATACTTTATTACGTGATTTCACATAAGGCCCTCTATCATTCCAGACACTATTATATACCGTTCGATAAAGAATTTCATGGGCTGCAGAGTGAAATCTAACACCGTTACAAGAAAATGTAACTACGTAGCCTACGATCCGAAATACTCGGTACTATCTCAGCAAACCGATACGTCAATCTCGTTCATGTTTGTATCGTGCATTTAATTTCTCCTTAGCACTCTAGTTTATATATCACTCGATAGTGAATTTTACGGTCTACAAAATCATATATAAGGCAGTCAAAAGAAAACATAACTGCGTAGTATGAGGTACGAGCATATCACCGGGAAAAAAATAAAGTTGGTTTAGAGTTGCTGAAAAGTGGTTTTTCGTACTCAGCACACTCGATAACCCGGAAGATTTTCTGTTTTTGGCCCGAGGTACTTCCGAAAGTTTAGGAAAAGTTTTCAAATTAATATTATTTTTCCATGGAAAACTTTTTGCGCCATTTTGTTTCAAAATTTTTCTTAAACTTTCGGAAGTACCCCGGGCCAAAAATAGAAAACCTTCTGGGTTATTGTGTGATGAATACGAAAAATCACTTTTCAGCAACTCTAAACCAACTTTATTTTTTTTGTTCCGGTGATATGATACTTGGTGGCATCTCGGAAAGCCGGTGGGTCAACGTTGTTCATGTTTATAATAACGACTTATTTTCCTGTTAACCACGCCACCAAATATACCGTTAAATAGAGAGCTTCATGGGGTGAAGAATCATGTATAAGACAGTCAGAAGGGAAATGCAACTGGATGGTCTAATATTAGAAATACTCGCCAGAGTCTCAGCAAACCGACAGGTCAATGTGGTTTATGTGTAACTAATTTTCTCGTTAACCACTTCACATTATATACTGTTCGATAGAGAATTTCACGGGCTACAGAATTATGTATCAGAGATTTAGCATGATTTGTATATAGAAAGATGCGGAATTGAAAGGGCTATAGGATGAGGTCGACATCGAAACTTGGGGCGCTCTTTTAACTTATAGTGTCCCAGCAACTGGCCTTTAGACCCCCATGTTGCTACTGCAAACTGATTCTAACATATACTGTAGAAGACAAACTTATATAGAAATAAAGAAAGAAAACAATGCACCTGAGTCAAATATTCGTGATCGCCTGACTCACAGAAAAGGAACATCGAAACACAGCAAAAATAATAACAAGCTGAAATTACGTCAGTGCACAAAATTGCCTTCAAACTCGAAAGACGTAAGGCTTGATTCAAACTATGACCTTTTTTTTGTCCTCTGTGGTCCAGTGTTCGAATTGTATTCCATATGGGTGGAGTTCTGCCCTCGGCAAAAAATAGCTTCGTGAACGAAATAATAATAATCAACAACAGATATGTGTATCATCATCATCATCAGCCATATTAGGAACTGATTGCTGAGACGTAGAAAGTAAACAACCAACTTCATGTTCACAAAAAGGTAATTTATTAATAGGTGTTGGAGATTGATCTAGCACATTCGTTAAGCCAGCTACATTTGGAAAGCGATCTTTTATTATCGAATTTTGTGATTCATGCGTTGGGACACAAACCGTTGCTGAAGAATGTGTATCTATCAAACATTCAAAAAAATTATAATCAATTTCACAAAACATAAACAGAATATTGGTTTACGAAACTCACCATCATGTGTATGTATAATTAAATCGGTTGCAGAATCAACAATTACACTTGCTAAATAGAAAAACCAGGTGTAGACAAAACAATTTTTTAAGATTGTCTTAGTGAACGATACTTACTTTGACAAGCAGACTTCGAGCGTATGCAACGACCATCAAGTTGATCAGCTACAGTACCTAAAGGACCACAATGACGACATCACATTTTCGTTGAATAGTATATAGATTCGACTCGATCAAGATAAAATCTGGCATCTAACAGCCTGTCCACATAATACATCAATCCGTTACCTTTTCGTCGTTTTATAACTTTTGAAATATATGCCGACCAGAACCGGACGCTGCCTAGTTTTGTGAATAAAACTATGCTTCACAAAATGAGACATCGTCTCAATTCTACGTCACTCTTCGTTAAGTAGATGCGGAAAAGAGAGGAAAAGTTCCTCGGCCTGCAGAAGCACCATAACTGACTTCAAAGCTTCTTTCTTAGCTACTTAACAAAGCGACACTTAGAGCTGAACAATGTGTCATTTTGTAAAGCACAATGATGAGAAACAATCTTTTACTGTTGTCATCAGTCCAGCCAGGTTTATTTTTCTCACACCGTATGTATATTGCTTCACTTACTCTTCAATATAACATAACATCACAAAAGTCGAAAGAGCAACACTTGTGCTATAGGAAGAAAGTACGATTTTCCCGAAACATTCTCGGACTAGCAGATTGTGTAGGTCGATAGAACTGGACAAGTTCCACGAGATCTGTAGCACAGAGTGTCGGTATATTCGGAAAAGGATACGATTAAAATATGCGCTAAACATGTCCAGCCTCATGGCGACATCTTTCTACGTGAAAGTAAGTAATATTCCTATAAAAGATGTGACTTGTAGTTTCTTACATTTAAGAGAAAAATGATCAAACTAGAAGAAAAACTATCAAACTTATCTTATTTCATGCGCCGTTCTGTATTGAGGTTCTTCCATGATCACAACAACAAGGATGTCATTAAGCAACAGAGTGCTTACCATTACGTGACTAACCATATTTGTTTTCATTGTTAATGTTTGAGATAGATTATCCTTACCATCTTTGGTTTTAAATAGAAGTTCCGATTTTAACACTGACTGAAACTTTCCCTCGAAACCACTGTGGTTTGTGTGCACAAGAAGCGTTATTGAAGCCGATTAATGTAAACTCATGCACTCAATAAAAGATGTTTTGTTGAAAAAACTTATACCCGTCTGATCTCATTTACTGTAGTAATATAGTCGATTTTGAAATTCTTCTCAATTAGACATATTGTCTTTAAACTATGCTTATTTTTCAGCAGATAAACTTCATCGTTAGTTAATGAAAATTTGCATATTTATAATTAATAACATCAATTTTCTTGTGGAAAAAGGACCAAAGAGAAACCAATTTATTTCAATCTTTATTGCATACTTATAATGTAAAACGAGGCTTTTCGTTCTGTTTCAGATAGTATGGATCGTGGAGCGAACGAATATAGTGATTTATTTTATCACAGTGTTCAAGTATTAAACAATTATACTGATGATGTATCAGAAGAAAACTTCTTAGAACAATATTTTCAAGAAAACGATGTGAGTTTATTAATTCCGATTCTATCTTTAATGATAAGGCTTCTTCTACTAAACTCTCCTTCTATGATACTGTTGACAGTACATTTCAGAGATTTTTTCCGAATTAAAATTCTTTCCTAATTATTTCTGCAGATATTCTGAATTCAATGGAAACAGATTATATTTTGAATATTTTTAAAAGCTTGCTTATTAATTATCTAGGTTCCAGATCGTGATTTTATATCCACAGTTCTATTCGATTGTGTTCGTCATTCAACATTACTAAGAACAGTTATGGAAATATTTTATTCAACAGATGGAATCAACGTGAGAAGATCAGAACAAAACATGTATAAAGGTAAATATTTCTTTTCTTTATTTATTTGATCACATATAAAAACTCAGTTTGATTCTCTTGTTGTGTAGTTATATCCTATATTATCTTCTTTCAACTTGACACAGTTGGTTTGAAATTATTACGAGGATTTATCAACACCGTACAGTTACATCGAATGTATCAGGTTAAAATTTTTTATTTGGAAGAGACAATTCGTTTGTTAGTAATAGGTGTTTTTGTACTGTACTGTTCTAGTTTTTACAATTTTTATTAAATGACGATAGACTAATGGCTGTTAGAGAAGAATGTTTGAAATTATATGACAAAGAATATTTTGACGAGAAAATTTACCGTGTGATTAAAAGGTAAGAGAACATGTTCATGTCTTAAACTAAATTCGATCAGAATAAAAAGATATATGATGTACCAATAATTTGTGCCGTGCTATTAATCAAGGTAAGAGAAATAAGGGAGAAAAAAATGACAGCTTTCTGCAGCATAAAGTAGAAGTGGAAATGAGTATTCTTTCTTTTAGTCATTTACCTCATTTGAAATCTGTCCTATTGGACTTAACAGATATTGTCGAAGGCCGTTCAGCTCCTCGCCAAATTCAACCACCCACAAAAACCAAACCATTTAAAATAACCTCACCCAAACATCGGGCTGTACCCGTACCACAAATTGTAAGTGACCTTATACATCTATCAAATCTCACAACGGCTATCTTTTGTTTTTAGATTCCAAAAATGGAACGAATTAAACCGGCACCAAAAACGACTTATGAACCATCACGAGAACGTATTGAATTAGAAAAAGTTCGTGAAGAAAATCATCGTAAAGCCATAGAAAAACTGGAGCATACACGAACGTTAAAATATGGTTTTATGCAAACTGAAAAGTCTCATAAGACACACGAAAAATTATCAAAAATTGTTGAAGATCGAGAAAAAAATTTACAATTTGATATATTTCGAGCTAATCCACCACCGAAACCACAAGTAAGAAATCGACTTTTAATTTTTGAATAACTTATTCTTATTTACCATCTCTTTAGGTAAATAAAATACCCGTAAAATTGAATGTGGCATCGGTATTAAAAGAAAGTCAATTGTATCGTCGTCACGAAGATGAAGTTCGTCGTCGTTTACAAGAATATGAATTTGGTGCACGAGATGCACAAGAATTTCTTACATGGCAGACAGATATGCGTAAAAAAGATTATGATTCAGATTTATTAGAATTAGAACGAAAACGTTTAGAAGGCAAATTGAGTTATGAAGAAGCTATATTAGCCAAACAACGTTTGCAAGATGAAAATAAACGAATGGCAGATGAAATGAAAGAAAAAACACGAGAAATTATTGACGATTATGTTAAAGAAAAAGTTAAAGATGAAAAAAGGATGAAGTAAGTTTCCTTTCAGTTTTTCTTCTTTTAATTTTGATAAAATAATTGGATGAAATAATCTTATGTGACCGATTTATCATTTTAAGAAAAAACACGAAAAAAATAAATTAAGTATATCTGTGAATGATATAGCTGAATAGTATATCAATAATTTGACTACCTAAATAAAAACATCGTTTTGATTAGATGTACATATGACTTGTTTCAGACAACTCATCGAAGAAGTTATTGACGGTCGTGAAAATGCCAAATTAGCTCAACAAAAACTTCAGCAATATAAAAAAGATTTTGTCAAACAATATAAAGAAGAACTCAAAGATATGATGAAACAAGCACTCGAAGATGTACGTAAACTTTTTATCTATCTATTTTATTAGACTCAGTTTATATTCTATATATAGGCTGAAGTTGAAATGCGTCAACGTTTTGAATTAATTCAACAAATTCGTGCTATGGAATCGGTACCAGTTGATCGTTGGAAACCGGTTGATCTTACAACAATCGCTGGACATGGTGTACTAGATGAAATGTCCATAGCAGAATTGAGAGAACGTCTGGAATTGGTGAAAGATGAACGGGAAAAAGAACGAGAATTAAAACGTGATCAAATAATCAAGGAAAAACAAGATAAAGAAAAACAAATAACAGATACTGTACAATATATTGTAAAATTTAGAAATGAATTGACAACAGCGGCAGCTGTCAAGTAAGTTGTTTCTCAGTTCTAAACAAAATTCTACTACTAAACAATGCCTATTGACGGAAAAGTCTGTCCTACCGCAAAGAATCTTGAAAAATGGTCTTCTAAGATCATATAAAATCTTGTAAAATCTTTATAAGATTCAGCGTTATCGATTAGGGGGTGGTAGGGAATGGCAACTCCCCCTCCCCCGTTTGGATACAGTTACTCAAAAAATGTTGACTTTTTTTACTCAAATTTTTTAAGAAATTTAAGTTGAGAAACTGCCTTTTATGCACCTGAGTAAGTGATTTTCTCTACCTTTTGAGTAATTTATTTTTTTCTGAGTAATTCAGTTACTCAGAAAAAAATTTATGTCAAAAAATGTGTTACTCAATAAAAAGACTTTAGTTACTCAGCAGGCTCGCCATCCCCCATCAAAGCTACTATCGAAAATACTGATGAGATTTCTCAAGAAATGTCTGCAAGATTCTTGTATAAATTTTGCAAGAATCTTGACAGGAGATTTCGTAAGATATTGTATGATCGTGCGGGCCGTAATAAGATTTTATAAGATTTCATAAGATCTAAGAATTCAGCATATCCTATAGGATTATGTGTCTGTTCTTGTCCAATAGGTTTTCTCTAGATCCTCTTTTGAAAAAATATTCCGTTTTTTTCCATAATATTTTCTAGGATAGGCAGAACCTTTACGTCCTAAAAACCGTTTCTCACCATGTTCTTTATAACCCTGCAGTTATCTGTGTTCAGCTGATGAAGAAACAAAAAAATTCTAAGTTCTGTCATGAGAACGATGCTGTATATATATACGATATGTTGTAGGAAAATTCATGTGGTAAGAATGAGTCATCGTTTCTTGCAAGATCTTACAATATCTTGTAAGATCCTATGACAAGAAGTCACAAGAATGCGTAAGATCTTGTTAGATCATGCAGTAAGATCTTATCTGAAGATTTTATAAGAAAATGTCAGATCTTGTGTGAGCTTGTAAGATGAATTTCACCTGAGATATTATAGAAGAGTGAAAATGTATGATGTTTCTCTTGGTTCAACCGTGTTTATTACTCTTTATAATCAAGGAACTATGACATATAATCACGATCAGTTCGATGCGGTATCAATTAGCGTTTTTCAGCATGGGGACCTTTTATTAGATCACGAATAATTGAATCATCTAAATATTACCTTTACCGTAATCAGCACTTACGTTAGTCTAGTTTAAGGTTAATATAAAACGATTTTCTAAAACTGTTAAATTGTTTGTTTTTGTTTTAGAAAACAGCGTCAGAGTACAAGCGCACAACCGGCTGATTTCACTAACAAACCTGAAATTCAACAATTGAAAAATGAATTGGAAACAAAACGATCTAAGAGGCTAGAACATCACAAACAACAACAAAATTTACAACGAAAAAGTTCATCTGCACTCACCACGAGCTCGTTAGGACCATTAAACGTAAGAACACTATTTCATAATAGGATTTTCCGCGGCCACCTATCTCTAACTGAACTAATGTTCCTTTTTTCGGTGAAACTCCGACATACACTGTAAGTATTAAAAGAAGGTGTAAGCTTATTAGTAGAAATAATCCAAACTTCCCCTACCACAAGATCTTATAAAATCTTGTGAAATCCTTTCAAGCTTCTTACAAGAGCATATAAGATCTTATAACAAAAAATCGTATGATCTTGCTATAAGAAATAAATAAATATAAGACACGTCTCTCGAGGACAAGATTTTACAAGATCTTGCAAGGTTATACGCTTTCTTGTTATAAGATCTTGCAAGACCTTATCACTTCTTATCAAGTTGATCTTGTAAGATCATACAGTAAGATCTTGTAGCAAGATTTTATAAGAAAACGGCAGATCTTGTGTGATCTTGTAAGATCTGGATTGATTCGTTGGCATTATGAAAGCGAAGTTATTACTAACAACAGACAGATGTAGTTTTGTTGGGGATATCTCATTTTATTTACTTTATACAACAAATATGTACCAAGTGTCATTTATAATGATAAATAACAAATTAGACCACTGGAGGAGAAAGGTTTGTATTGCTTGGATATCATTACTAAATCTAGAATTTTCAATGATAATCTCATCAGGTGTGCACCCTTGATATGACAATCAAGAGTACTTACCAGTGCATAAATATTTGACTTTGTGTGCTTCAAAATTGAGTAATAGCTTCCAATTTTTTTGAATCGATAACGATCAATCCGGATACACAGTCTGGAAGTTGATGACTTTTAAGTTTTACAGATGTCGGAATTTCATATCTGAACGAAAAGTCTAATAGGTTTTATTATAATAGAGATCAAGGACAGCCTAATTCCCTCATCTTAAGCGACTTATTAGTGTTAGTTCTATTAGTTAGAGAAGTGCTATATTTTTAGCTAATTGAAAATTTTCTTTCAGAAATCCAATACGGAATGGAATCGTTTTATACAATTAGAAAAATCGTATGATAAAATGGGCAGAAAAATAGCACCATCATTAATAACATGACACTCTTCTTGTTTGATTTTATCCTTGGCTTATGCTAAAAGTGACAAACGACCAAATAGTTTGTTTCAATGTCAGAATGTGTCGAAATACACAAAAGACTACTGTTCTCACGAGAGAAAGAAAATACTGGCTTTGTAGCGTCGTTGTTACTTTTGTTCAGATAATATGTTTCAAGTTCACATTCAAACAGCGTGATATAAGTAGAAGAAAGATGATAGTCAACGATGTACATGGGTTTTTTATTCTTTCTATCGATTAACAGACTCAATATGTACAAATTTGCCAAAGTTTAATAAATTTACTTGTTAAATTTACTATAGCTGATCAATTTTATGCTTTTGACTTTCAAGAAATATTAACATTTTTTCATAGCACACATGTTTTGTGCTTCTTTGAAATTATCCGATGATACGAAGATTGTGATTCTTCGGTAGAGTAGTAATCGTGTGACTGGAAAACTCATCGTAAGCCTTTTTCTGTTGCTCTCTTCGTCATTCCCCGACTTTATGTCTTGTGTGCAATTCGTCTCTTGCCTTGGAACCGATATCTTATCCTGTTGTCTCTATGTATTATTCACCAAGGACATTCACAGTAAAATGGTAAAAGAATAGTATTTTCGTTCCTTTCAAAATGCAACAAAGAACAAAAAACTAGAAATTCTACATCTACTTTTATTTAGGGATGAATCAAGCCTTGGGATCTGACCTCAAACATCGCTTATTTTCAACATTCAAAAACCTAAAGTACTGCCGAGCTTCTACACCAACCTTAACCAGTTTTTTCTGTTCTATCTGTAATTAGTACTAGAACTTACAAGACTGGCATCTATTTATTGAATTTTATCAGTTCTAGCAGTAGTTTCAGATCGAACAGAAATAACTAGTTAAGACTAATGCAGAAGCTCGGTAGAGCGTCAGAGTTTTGAATGTCGAAAACAAGCATTATTTGAGGTCAAGTCCTAAGGCTTGATATATCTCTACTTTTATTTTCAATCAGCAAAAAATAGGGTCGTGTACAAAAGGAAATTATCCATTCCTGTCACTTAAGTGATGGAGTATGTGATATCATCTTCTGTGTGTCTTCGAGAGATCCGATTTTCATCTAGCCGCTTTACGACTTTACGAAAGTAAACGTTCTAGCGCGACTGAACATTAGTTTCGAACCATGTCAGCAATGGCGGAGCCAGGGGTGGGCCAGATAGGGCTGAGCCCTACCTACGGAGCTTTGAGCCCTATCTGGTGAGATTTTGGAAAAATACATTTTATTATACAAATATGTTTTGGTTTTATAGCCAGGGGTGGGCCAGATAGGTCTGAGCCCTACCTAGCCCAAAATCCTGGCTCCGCCACTGCATGTCAGGAAGACGAGATACTCTTAAACCCATACAATTTTCGAAATAATTATTAGTAAAATTACCATCATATGACCTAACTATACGCTTCGAACGTTTATCTAATTTCTCCTGTAGATGATATTTGGATTTGAAAATGTACTGAATAGATTGAATACGAAGGTGTTTCCATCATTTCTGCTGAATGTCTTTGGTGAATAATCCATGCAGACAAAAAGATAAACTGTCGATTCTAAGGCAGGAGACAAATTGTGGACGTCAGATGAAAAATTTCGCACCGAATTGTCGTATACCGGCGAAAAAAATGGCGTTATATATCCACTTTGTTTTACTGATTATTAAAATTTATAATCCAGCTATGATCCTGCTCTTTATACTCGAATAATCCTTCTGTTCAAACTTAATCTTTGTTGACAGGGTTTCAGATCAACTCTTTTGATAATAGATGTATGACGTCTCATTATGATCTTCAGTTAGTTTCAGATATTTACTAGTATGCTCAAATTGAAGAAAAAGTTTTTCAAGAACAATAAAGTTCTAAAATCACCAGGTGAATATCAATTTCAAACAGACTCAAGTTATATTAACTGTATAGCTGCCTCTATTTAGTTAAAACAAATGGAGATAGCGAAAACATCTACTTGGAACCAGAATATGATGTTAGTACACAAATTGTACCATTTTTCGATATATTAGCTGAAGAACTCGTATTATTAGCGAGAAAATCGGTATGCTAAAAGCATTTATCCTAATGACTGATGTTTATCATATTTCTTTTTCTAGTCTCACCACATTCGATTGGCAAAGTTGCACGATGATGTTTTATTTCTAAAAACATTAGTCATGCGAAAATTTAATCAAATGACTAAACGATTAGTTGAGAGTGATAATAGAATAAAAACAATTAAACAAAAATGGGATGAAAAAAGTTCCACATCACAATCATCCAATAAAAAACAGCAGCCATACAAAAGCAATAGCTCTTCTGTTAATGGCGATGTGAGAGAACGTAAATATTCAATACAGATTTTTGATGATTAACAAACAATTTTATTAACAATTAGTATAGTGGTGTGTTTAGATTTACAGATGTGTGCTTTAATAACTTACAGAGTGGCGCTGAATACAACTACACTAAGACGAACTGGTAGTTGGCTAAGATCTCACAAGATGTGCTAATATCATGCAGTAGATATAAGTCTTGGCTGATTATTTGATACTTATTTGCGTCTTTGTTTTAGTTAAATGTCACACAAGACTCAACTGAGATATCACGTCATAATACATCCAATGGTGCTGCCGAAGAAGTGTTATCCTCCTCTTTTCTATGCTGTAATCGAAGTTTTCTTTCCTCTTCATCGTGTTGTACATCCACACCGGAAACATTTCGTCGTCGTCTCGCTGAAAGTTCTGTATCTACTATTCACCATTCCTCATTGATTCAAGAACATTTTGTCTCTATTCGAGAGCAATTATGTCTTTCATGTTCATCATGTACATGCTATGATGTTTTACGAAATAAAATTGAATTAGAATATTTGACATTGAGCTCAAAGACGGATCAATTCAAATGTGACAATGAACTTTTACAACGTTTACTAGCCGAATGTAAATATTCGTATGAACAACAATATTTGTTATTTAGTCAAAATGAACAGTATCTCATTGAATTTGAGCAAACAATTCGATTACAAACCGATTTAATTCAAGTTTATGAACATTTAGTTGATCTACTAGAGGCGAGTAAACGAAGTCAGAAATGTGAAACAATAGCTGGAGCAACAACAATAGGAGGGAAAAATGAAATGTCGATACACGTCGATGAAAATGGAATACATCATCAACATATTTATCAAAAAATAAATGATTTATCAACAGTTAATAATGATGTGTAAGTGTGCGCAACGTTTTCTTTCATTTGTATGCAAGCGACACTCTCCATTGCATGACTGCGATGCTTCTTTTTTTTTTCCATGAAGAACATCCTTCTTATATCAGCGGTGTTTTCTTCACATTACAGAATGATGCTGTAGCCTATAGGATTGAATCTATCAGTGTCTCGGAAGGCCAAAATGCTCTAGGTTTGATTTTCGAGATGCATTAAATATATTGAGAATTCTTGGTAGTAAATTTCTTGTTTGTTTGTATTTGACTATGGGCTACGTACAATGGAGTCCTGCAGGCTAACCTGAATTTAACCTATAGATTAGGACAGGTTTAGGTTGCTGAAGTTGTAGGTTAGGTTAGGATACGTTTAGGTTATGGGAAATTTTTGGTAATTCTTTAGTTTTGAATGAATAGAAACAGTAGGTTGTAAAAATGGAGGATTAATTTTCCACACCTGAGTACATGGCAATTCCACCCCTGGGCATACCAGCTAGTAGTACAACGAGTGAAAGGATTTCCAGTGCAAGCGAAAGAATTTTAGAAGAAAGAAGGCAAAATTTAAACAGCGACGTAGTTGATAATATGTTATTTTTACGAAATTTTAGAAAAATGTAGTTTTTTATTGTTAAAGAGAAATAAATAGACAAGTATTTGAACAAGTGAAAAAATATGTATAAGTTAAAGATATAAAAGCTTTATCGGACAAAAATTTCTGGATTAGGATAGATTAGATTAGGCTCATGGTGTTGAAGTTATAGATTAGGTTAGGTTTAGATTGGATGAACGTTAATAGGTTAGGGTATGGGCTACAAAAAACTCTTAACTTGTAGGACTCTAATATGCAGATATACATATGACAGGAACTATTTATTGTCGATTAGATAAATCAACGTTGCTTTAGGCTAATTATACAAGAGCATCAGCTGCGTCGACTACTTCACGAGAGTTATATAAAACATTTAGTTACTGGTCCAGATAAAAAGTGTTTAGAGGGCAGTAATTCACAATTATTAGAGACATTTAAACAATTACTGATCGTTTTCGAAGAAAGTACAATACACTGATTCTCGCGTTTGAATGAAGTTACATTCGTTTCTGTCGTTTTTTGAGACGCGTCTAGCAATTCTTGCGAGTTATATATATTCTCAGTCAAAAATAGGTACTTATTTCGGTTTAAAAACATTTCCAAGAATTTCTGAGACTGTCATTGGATTCCTAGCAAAAAGTTGCTTCGGGAGACTTAGCCTTTAACTATTACGGGGACTTTGGGTTTTTTCTATATCAATTTCGTTTAGTGCGACTATACCATCAATGTAACGCGAGACTGGCTCAAGAAGCGCGAAACAACGCAAGTTTAGTTTCAAAGTATCGCGTGAAACTCTGTTTACGAAAAATTTATCGCATTTAACGCAACCTACGATTACCTCAAACCCGATGCTTGCGCTTTTTTTTAAATGAATTTCTCGCGGTAATTTTTCGTAAACAGAGTTTCGCACAATGTTTTAAGCTAATCTCGCGTTAAAACGAATTTTTAAAAGATATAGGTGACTGACTGGGTGGGGAGGGGTTCGACAATTCGAGATCGTAGAGAATCCAAGAAAAATTTTCAGGATTCACTTGCCGGAAAAACCTCCTCCCGAAAAATTCGCATTTTTCAAGAAAGAAATCCGATTGTCCACAATTATGATTATGCCTGTATGACATAGTGTGTTTTAATATCAGATTAATCGATGTTGGTGTTTATGTCTATTCTGAGGATATGCAAGGATATTGTTTTTCTTCACCTGCACCCATCCCTTAGATACAGAGCGGTTTTCACTTATTCAATCTACATTCGCACATTTATTCAACTGTATGGACAATCTAATGGTTCCTACAGATTGAAGACCCCATTATTTACTACTACGAATTTTCTTTTGTAAATGTTGAATTTTCACCATCTTCTTTTTTTTATGCTAATGTCGATTTAATATAGGATGTTTCTTTTTTAGTGAAATTTATCATGCTCACTCAACAATATCACAATTATCTGGTGAATGTCGTCGATGTTTACAAGTTGTTTCAACGCGTCCTCAATTATTTTCTTATTCACATGAACAATTTAATCCACCACCAACTACATCGAACTATGTTGATATTACCGATTTAGAAATTGCCGTTTTGCTCGTTGATCTAATGACATTGAAACAAGAAAATTGTGAATTAAGATGGAATTGTGATATATTGTATCGTGAAAAAAAATTATTTAAAGAAAAAATACATTTTCTAGAAGTAAATACGAAAGAAGACGAAGTCGAATTAATTTTAAATAATAGTTCACATACGAATATAGATGATCCAATATCACTTCAAGATTATCAAACATTAATTACTAGAGAAAAAACATTACGTGCCTATGTCTATCGTTTATATCAACTTTTACAAACAACTACAAAACAACTAAAACAACGTCAAGAACAACAAAATGTTTTAATGATTCAATTTAAATTAAGAAATAAAGAATTAATTGAACAAATTCAACAAATAGAGGAAAAATATCAGCAAAAATTAGCTCAATTACACATGAAATTTCAAAATATGAAAAAAGCGTACAATGAACAAGTAAGTGATCGATAATAAGAAATTAATCTGTTAGATATATGAACAATTTTATGAAAATTTCTTATTACCTACTTTAGTAAGATACTTCTCTTAACTGTTTTAAATATCTCGTGATGAGAATCACAAAACAAGGAGAATAAACTAATACATTTTTAAAGATATCGCTTTTTATTTTTAGCTTTCAAAATTGTATCGATCATCAACATCATCAAATCAAGTTGATCATCAATCACAATCCTCTCCATCACATCGTCGTATCCAAACAACTATTTAAATTTTTCTTTTTTTTATTGTCACATTTTTTTTTGTAGATCAATTTTTAAATAAATCGATGATATTGTGTGTTCATCTTGAGTCACTTTCAGATGTTTCAGACATTTGTGATTTATTATCGATGGTAACTTTTTCATATTGTCGATAATCATTCATTAAATCTTTAATTCTTTGTTCAGCTTCTTGAAAATCCATTTCTTCCATACCTTCGCCAATAAACCAATGAATATAGGCTCGACGATTTAACAATTTCAAAAATGCGCCTAAAAAATGTTCAAATTCTTTAACGATAACTGTATTATTTCCAATACATGTTACGGATTTTGATAAACCACGTGGCGATATATCACAATGAGCAACTTTACACTAAAAAAGAAAAAAATATATATATTAAAATAATTACAGAACGAATGTCTAATGTTGTAAACTTTAAATTGATCAATTTGAATTTATTATAAATAAAGTTTTCTTAAATTCTTATAGAAAAATCTATTATTATTATATACTTATTAAAGAGTGTTTAGTAATAAGATCGACATGCCCCTGTGTTAAAATGGTACTATGATCGATTAGTACTATTATATATTTATCTTAATTATGTTGATCAGCATCTATTGATGAAAGAATCTGACATTGATTATCGAGCGCATTTCATGAATCTCAATAGAATGGTAAAGAGACAGTTTCAAATTAGTAATTGCCGTCACTAATAGTAAAAGATATTCTGTTTCTTTTCCCTCTTCAAAATTTACTCTTAAAACTTATATGTTCAATTTATCTAATGTCAATTTCTATATTCTGATAAAAATAAATTATATAGATCGAAAATTCTTAATAAAATAAGAAAAATGATCAAGTCTGCTGCATTACTAATTCGTTTTATTCTTAAAATTATTTCCATTAACAGAAATAAGATAATTAGAGAAAATGTTGCAAATAATATTTAGAAACTATTCAAGAATCATCCATTTCTCGCATTATCTCAGTACAAAAAATTGTTTCTACCGTATGGTTATGTTTAAGTCGTAGTCAAATAATTATTTCTTACATTATTAGGTATCCATTCAATGAAATGTTGTCCTTGTTTCATTTGAGCCATTAAATCATGTAACAATTTCAATGACAATGTTCGTCCTCGAAATATCCCAGTGGCTGTAAAATATTTACCTTGGCGTGGATCTACAGCTAACATCTGATTTTTTGGATCAAACATTTGTTGAACTAATAATTGTTCTGTGAATGCTTCATAAGGTTGAACACTTCTTGCTTTCAAAGGTGAAAAGGATGTTGTAAGAAAATGAAGAGTGGGAAAAGGAATCATGTTTACAGCTAATTTACGCAAATCCATATTTAATTGACCAGGAAAACGAAAACATGTTGTAATGCCGGATATAACCATAGCCATAATATGATTAATATCTTCCATTGTATTTGATTGAAGACGAAGAGTTTTAGTACAAATATCGAATAGAGCAGAATTATCAAAACAAAATGTTTCATCTGTATTTTCAATTAAATGTGTCATTGTTAAAACAGCATTATATGGTTCAACAACAACTTGTGACATTGATAATGATGGAAATATTGAATATGATTTAATTATTCTATCGGAATATTCTGTTCTTACATTATCGATTAACGATGATCCTAATCCACCACCTGATCCACCACTAACACTATGTAAAAATTGAAATCCTTGAATTAAATCACATTCTTCTGCTACTTTTCGTAAAACATCCATTAATGATGGTAACAATTCAGCACCTATTTCAAAAATATTTATGTTTTGATTATGGAGATTATTTGTAACAACTTACCTTCTGTAAAATAACCTTTCGCATAATTATTACTTGCGCCTGTTGTACCATGAACGAGTAATTCCGGATTATAAATTTGACCAAATGGACTACGACGTAATGTATCGATTGAACCTGCTTCTAAATCGGTAGCAATAACACGAGGTACATATCGACCACCTTAAGAAGAAACATAGCGGATTCTTAAAAACTATTTTTCATAACTAATTCAAAATAATTGAAACTAATACGGGTAAGGATCATACCCATTGCTTCAGTAAAATAGACATTTATTCGTTCCAATTGTAAATCACTCTCGCCATGAAATAAGCCGTTTGGTGCTATACCATGTTCATCACATGCCACTTCCCAAAATTTGCGACCAATTGAATTTCCTGCTTGTCCCACTTGAATCGTGATGATTTCACGCATAATTTATAGTTTGAACACACAAAACACGTTTAAACATAGATGAAAAAAATATGAACACCTGGTTTAGTTCCTAAAAAACAAAATAAATATTTGCAAATTGAAGAACGAAAATGAACGCCATAGTAACGGATCAAAACAAAAATTATTCCAAAGGTTTTTGTTGTATCAGTCTAAAAGCAAATCTGACAATGATGCCAAGTTGATGCGAAATGAATACGAGTAAGGTTTTCAAACTGATACGAAACGTGACGAAGCATCTTCTTATCTTTGTTTTGCTATCTATTACCATTGGAGAAAGTTCTTAAAAACTCCGTTTTCTTGACGGTTGTTCCAGAAGAAATTTGTGTTCTCACTTTTTTCTTTATCTCAGATTCTATCGATCACTCAGGGATAGGACTTTTTTAAAAGATACAGCTGGAAGTTCTCTGCAAAAATCTTCTAAAAGTGTTTCTGTACCAGAGGTGGGACTGGTTTGAGTTTTTGGGAAATCGGTCCGGTTCGGTTCGGTTTGAGGAAGTTTCGGTTCGATTCGGTTCGGTTACCAAAAAACACGAACTGATCCCATCTCTGCTGGTTATATGTTTTCAAAATGAATATTTTTTTATTGTTTGGTAGTGGAAAGCTTGAGGTTTAAGCTTTATTTGCACCTGTATAGGGCATTTTTTGGCGTGGTTCACGGATAGACCATGGCCTTCAAACTCTTAAGCGTCCACTTCCAGAAAAATGGTTCGGCTATCTATGGTATAGTCGAGAGTAACTCATGCAATAGGCCCATCGTTACTGTCCATCCTAAAAGTAGCTTAAAACAATAACTCTTTAAAAAGTTAGATTTGTGATGTTTATATTTCGAACTAGAAAGTAAAATAAAAATTACTGTTTGAAGCATAAGTAATCAAAGGAAGATACCACAGCCAAAAGTATGTGCAAGAATAAGCATCGTACGTATACAACCATCTGAGCAAAATGCCGAAATTTTGCTCAGATGAGGACTTTTGCACAATTCTCTTTTTATTTAAATAAGTTATTGCGATTCTATCAGATCTCCATATTGGCTAGACTACGCTGAAAATGTTTTGAGCTTATGCACTCGAACTGGATTGAACTCAAACTTTCAAGACTAGGACTGGTCTGTACCCGAATAAAAGTTTTGGCTGCAATAACCAGGAAAAACTATGTTGTTTTGTATTATGAACTAGGCTGAACTACTTTTTTAGAGTCCATGAACTGAAAAATCTGTTTTCATGGACTCTATAATGGATAGAATATAGAAAGTGACTTGTTTTACAAACTGATTTTTTTTCGTCCGATAGCGCAGAGCATAAGCAGTCCGATAGTGGAGTATGGTCAGAATTTGTGGCAAAGTCAGAAACTATACTTATAGTCTCCGATTCTCTCTCCTGTACTGCGCGCAAAAAGGTATCAAAACTAGAAAAGAAGTGTATTTGTTTTAAAATGTTTAAGTAGGGATTTACAAATAATCATTTCGGCGGCATTACTAATATTACTGTGAATGATATTGTTTTTAAAAAGGCCTAGCAAAAATATAAATATTTACTGGCAAAAAATGCATAAACAAACAGGCATCGGATATTTTTTGTTCTTATAGAACAGTTGTTTTCCTGCGATAACAGGTCTCTTTTTTATTTTTGAAAGTGAAATGAGAACATTTCTGAAGAGAAAGAATACACACGGAAATCAAGAACTAAAGTGAGGAGTGTTTTGAATGATAAGGACAAAGAGTTTTACGTTTTATTCTAACTTTAATTACATATAAAAAAAAGTAAGATTCGGTTCGGTTTGGTTGCAGAAAAACACGAACCGTTATCACCTTTATTCTGCACAGAGTATGCCGAAAATTTTATAAAAGCCGTGAAAGACGTCATAATGTCGAATTTCGTAAATTAAACAACGACTTTATTTGCTAAGTTTTTAAAACTAACAAACTAAGCTACTATCCATTTCAAAAAAGAAGAAGCACGGCCATTTCTTTGATAACTTTTTCTAAGAAGCAGCTAAAAAGGTGCGGTTTTCAGTATCGGAAAGCGAAATGTTGGGGTAATATGAAAAACTAA